AGCACCATAAAGACATCAAGTACAAGGACTACCTCACTTCGGAGCAGACAAAAGTCTCAAGAAGGCAGTAAAAAGGAAAAAAAAAATCACAAAGTCACTGTTCCTATAAATATTATATTTTCAAAAAAGGAAAATAAAGTGTTTTCCGAACAATTACAAGAAGTACACACGTTTGCACCGTCAAAATACATCTTAGTCTGTAAAGAACATGTAGATATATCTAATACAGGATGAATGCCACCTTTGAATGAGATGCAGTTTAGCTTTAGCAGGAAGAGCAGAGGAGAGAGAGATGAAGTCTTCAATCGACAGACATGTTTCAGCTTATCTGGACCATAACTTACCAGATGTACAACACTGGGGTATCAAATTAAGACATCTCTAAGATCTCTCCAAAGCTCACTCTGTCCAGGGCTCTGTTCACGCCACCTTACCAGAGGCCTTCCCTGGCCCCCTCACAAAGTAGCCCCGTACCTTTTATTCTTCAAGGCACTTATCAGTGGGCCTGCTATACATTCCTCTCTTCCCCGACCAGAACGCAGGCTCCACTCGGGGAAGCTAGCCAGCTGTGCTGTATCCCCAGAGTCCAGAACACTGACTAGCAAGTAGTAGGCACACAGATAGCTTTCCTGTGAAAGAACAGATCCATTCTACAGATCCAGTGAGAGTCTTCGGGGCGCCTGGGTGGCTGAGTCATTAAGCGTCTGCCTTCGGCTCAGGTCATGATCCCAGGGTCCTGGGATCGAGCCCCGCATCGGGCTCCCTGCTCCGTGGGAAGCCTGTTTCTCCCTCTCCCTCTCCCCCTGCTTGTGTTCCCTCTCTCGCTGTGTCTCTCTCTCAAATAAATAAATAAAATCTTAAAAAAAAAATTCATTCTAGCGCTATAGTTCAAAATACTAATGCAGTAAAGCATCCTTCCATATATGTCCATATAAAATTCTACAAGTTAAGAATGTAACTTTCAACAAAGGTGAAGGGTATAGGACTTGATCATTAATACTGACAAGAAATTATTCTAAGAGGGAAATATTACCGAGGAAATAATACACAACGGGTCAGGAGGCCAGGTTCAAACCCTGGCTCTACGTTCTACCGTGGAACGGAGATAAAAACAGTACCTGCTGCAGTGCTGAGAGGATTAAATAAGAATGTACATAGCGTTTATAAATATAAAACTAGGGGAAAAACTTCTGTTCCTTATTTCCTCCCACAATTCCAAACTACAAACAGGGCAAAGGTAACAAGGAAGGGAAATTTATTTTTATTTGAAAAATAATGGGATGCCTGGGTGGCTCAGTCTGTTAAATGTCTGCCTTCCGCTCAGGTCATGATCCCAGGGTCCTGGGATCGAGCCCCGCATCGGGCTCCTTGCTCAGCGGGGAGACGGCTTCTCCCTCTGCCCGCCGCTCCCCCTGCTTGTGCTCACTCTGTCTCTGACAAATAAACGAAATCTTTAAAACAAAAAGAAAAAAGAAAAAATATGTACATTTCAGTGTCCACTTCTTTTAAAAGTAAGATTATGTTTCCCCCAGGAAAACAGAGAAATGATCTGACGTCTGTGGTTATACATGCCTTTCAAGTAAAATGTAAGAATTGCTCTGGAAGAGAAAGTTGAAGGGGGCCTGGGAACAGCAAAGTCAGGCTGAGACCCCTGGCGCCTGGGTCACCCATGCTTGTCTCTGCTCCCAGGCCACTGGATTCCATTTGAGGGTGGTCCACACAGCACAGCCACTGCCAGTGCTGTGTTCAGACCTATGCGCTCTCACCAGCTGCTGCCTTTGGCTCTATAATCACTGGGGGTTCTGTCTTAAGAGAATACACATACAGCTCACCAGAAGGTGTGCAGATTTAGACCCAAGCGGCATCAATCAGCCGTCAGAATCCAAAAGCTATGGGAAGGTTTCTGAAAAGTGGCTTCTGCGTCTGTCCCCTGTATAGGGACTGGCTTGATACGGACAGGCCTGTGGCTGGAAAGGCCAGTGATGGTATGACTAACAGTGAGACTCTGAAGAAATGGCTTGTTCTGGATCCTGGCACTTATCTAGGCCCTAATGTTGAGCAGAAGGGGGTTCTGGATTCAGAACATGAGCCCCTGGGTTACGATATGGTTAGCTGCAAATCCTGAATTTGTTCCTACATCTGTTCTTAGGACAGTGAGGGACTGGGGCAGGTTTCATAGGGTCCAGCTTCTACCTACTTGCCCAAGATGAGGAGGGAGAAGTGAGAGACATTTTGGGAGTTGCTACCACAACAGAGAGGGCTTCTGTCACGTACCACATCCAGTAAAGCTAGGAGAGACAGCCAGAGTGCCAAGGAGCATAAGCAGTTGCCTTTGGGAATGACTAGCTGGGGCGAGCAGCAGTGGCCAAGCCACTTTAGCACCTGTCAGCAGCTATGGGACATTGATGTCAGCCCAGGGACGGCTGGCTCAAAGACTCATGCCACACATCCGCAACAACACATTTGTAATTCCAAACTATGAAAATAAGTCCTACATGGGGGAAATAGAAAATTGAAACATTTGAATAAAGTATGCTTAAAATCTCATAATATAGTGTTCATCCTCTGAAGCAGAGAACACAAGGTAATGGTTCCCACATATGAGGGAACTGGTAGAATGGAGAGAATTCCTCCAAATGCCTAGTTCATGAAAACCTACATAATCTAGAAGAAAAGCATGATACAGGTCAGAGTCGGCTCAAATAAGGACTCAAACACTGGCATGAGCCTGATGCCACAGAGTGAAAGGAGCCACCTAGGTCAAGAATATCAAGCAATTTCATAATAGAAATCTTGATTTGCATCTTCCATCGCCTAGAATCTGGGTCTCCCTGGGCCAATGAGCATCACATGACTACAGGAGGGAAAGGGAAATGAAGATGTACATAATAACGTCCTATATGCTAGCAAATACTACCGATGTGGTTTCCTACCTGTAACTACTTAGTGTCTAAGACAAAGTTTCATCTAGAGCCTGCCTGCCTGGGTTCCTCCCTTTACAGCTGGAGGGCCCTCAGGAAGGTGATGATTTCACTGTGTCTCAGCTTTCCCATCTGAGGAAAAGGAGTTACCATCCAATGAGGTAGTGACTGGTGTGCTGACAGATTTAAGAGAATAGGCTAATCAACCCGAAGCTTTTATAGCAGTGCTTGGCATACAGCAAGCACTCCATATGTGTTGGCTATTTCTCACTTTCCTCACAGCACTCTTGTGAAGAACATGAAACCCTGTTATTAGGTAACAGTGCCTTCAATTTAGAGAGGCGGCAACTCTGCAAAGACAAGCAATTACCTTGTGCAGAGTCACAGAAAGTGACAGAGGTAAAAGCCATTCTTCTCCCACTCTACAGCGCTGGCCCTTACTATTACCATTACTAGCCAAGGCCTACTACAAAATGAAGAAGTCACATACCCTCCAATGAGCGAGATTTCCTTAAGGGAGTCAGATTGTGCTTAAAGGAAATCAGAGCGTGCTAATCTGGACATTTCATCTCAACTAAAAATTACTTATTGTCTTCCCAGTTACACAATAGTAAAGAACACTGCCGTCAGGCCATAAAAGCAACCAGCCAGCTGGGTCGGTAGACCCAGACCTTTCAAAAGCAAGCCCTTAAGTGAAGTCCAGGGAAGAGGAAAGGGACAGGAAGGGAAAAGGAAGGGAGGGGATTGAAGGGTGAAAAGACTCAATGGAGAACCTCAAAACAAACCTCCCACACACACACGTATTTTGCCCCTGAGGCATCTGTCATGACTTAACTAAGCTGAGGGCAATAGCGCCCATCTTAATGAATGAGCTGGCCTAGTTCCAATACACACACAGCTCTGACATACACAGGCTCAAGGCCTGCAGGGCCCTTTCTGCCCTCTGGGAGACACCTGACAGATCACAGGTCACAAGTCAGTCTTAAATAACTGGAAGCAAGACTTCAACGAGCAGCTAAAATGGGCTTGCAATTTTGTTCCCTTCTTTCTTTCAGGCTTCACATTTTTAGAGGTTGTGTTTAATACAAGACATCAACCCAAGAGGTCAGAAAACCTGATTTCCGGGCCTAAGACGGGCCAGGGATCCCCTCTCCGGACCCGGTCGTCCTTCGTCCGTCGGTCCCTCCCTCGCTCCCCCGGCACGCGCGGGGCCCGGAGCGGGTACCGGGGCTGCCCCGGGCCACTTGCCATCTTCTCTTCCACCCTTTCAACAGTTGCTAGGACTCCGGAGAGGCGGCCCTGGCCGCAGGAACATGCTGTCAGCTCTTTTCTCCATTCACCACCCTCCCCACGGTGGCTACGAGAGGAGGGCGCGCAGCGGCGTGGGTGCGAGCGGCGGGAAGCTGCCCCGGCATGACACTTCGCGGCGCCGGCTCCCGCAGGAGCACACGCCGCACCGCGGCTGTCGGCGGTGAGGCCCGGGCGGCCCAGCACCTCGGCCCCGGGGCCCGCCGTTCCCATGGTCCCGCCGCCCCCGCGGCCCGGGGCGACCGGGACGCACGCCCGCCCGCCGCCGCCCACTCACCGCCGCACTCGACCGAGTACTGGTCTCCCCAGTCCCCGGACTGAGGGCTGCAGCCGCCGCCTGCCGGGGCCTCCTGCTGCTGCCGGTGCTGCAGCTCCTGCTTGAGCAGCGACAGCGGCGAGTAGTGCTCGGTGGCCACGGCGCCCGGGCATAGCCCGGCAGACAGGACCCCCAACAACAGCAGCACCAGGACGCGCCGGACGGCATCCGCGGCGGCCACAGCGCCGCCCCAGCAGCGGTAGCAGCAGCAGCAGCCGCCGGCAGGTGCCATCTTTCCTCAAGGCGCATGTGCGGCGGCCCTCGCCGCACGGTGCGGCCTCCCAGCCTTAACCCGCCGTGGGCAGGTGGGCCGTGGCAAGAGGGCAGGAAAGGGGTGTGGCGTTGCCTGCTGGGAGTTGTAGTCCCAGGTCGGCCAGCCGCGAGCCCCTTCTCCAGAACTGAGACTACGAATCCCAGCAAGAACCGCGAGGGACAGGCTTTCCGGTCTGGTTTCTGACGTCTTCCCCCGCCACTGAATCGGAAGTTCTCGGCTGCAGTTGCGTGGAAATGGGCACCGGTGGGCGGAGTGGGTTACGGCCAGGCAAGGGAAACACAGAAGGGGTGGCCGCGGGCAAGGGGAACACGGATGGGGTTGCAGCAGCTCCCACTGCTGCCTCGGCCTCCTGCCAGTACAGGTGCATCGAATGCAACCAAGAGGCCAAGGAGTTGTACCGAGACTATAACCACGGAGTGCTGAAGATAACCATCTGCGTGAGTTGTCAGGTGTGGGGTGTCCGTGGGAAGAAAATGGCGCGTTGGGATTTGGGGACCATGAGAGGCAAGGGATCTGTATATCAGCTTTTTAGGGCAGTAAAGACCAACGAGTCTCAGGGTCCTCTAGCATAGTCCTCAGTTCCATACTTGACATTCCTGTCCGGGATCAGTGGAGCCTTTATGTGGTTACCTATAGTGTTAAAGAACTCACCACCCTGTAGCGGTTTTCTCGTACCCGTCATGTTTGCTGGTGAGACCTAACGCGGCGAACGGATCCTCGAACGGATCCTCGAACGGAGATGGATGTAGACATTGTGCTGAGAGACTTAAAGATTGGATTATGTTGACATTCGAGTTCACGCCCAAACTCTAGTGTTTAGCCGTCTCCCTTTCGTAGATGAATGTTATCATCCTTACGGTCCATACCCGTATTAAATTTTCCTGGAATACTTTATTTCAGGTTTCATCCTTTGTGGTTATTGAATGTACAGTATGTGTTGTGTGCAGAGCACTAAGTTTGACGTTGGTGATACAAAATCCAAAAATGATGAAGTAAAAATTTTGCTTTCAAGGTGTTCATGGTCTATAGAGAATGATTTAATGTTTTGAAGGTCACAAAATCGGAGGTTCTCTTTGGGGTATTAGTAAAGAACCTGCCACATAATAGGCAGTCAATATGTTTTTGTCCCATTTCTGTTCTCCTGATGATTTTCTAATAATAATCCTCCTTAGAAAAACATGGTCTGTAGTAGTATATAAGGGAGTAGACAAAGTGTGAACGGGTACCTATTTAATCTGTTGCCAACTGACATAATCGCTGTTCCTCTCAAGTGGTTTCCCTCACTTGGCAAAATTTCAACCCTGGTTAAATCCAACCTGTTGTCTGATCTGTCTCCTCATCCTGGCAGCTGTACTTCAACTGAGGAAAAAAACACCTAAATTCATGACCACTAACCTCATGTAGCCCTTGATGCCATCTGGCCATCACATTACATTTCACTAATCCATTCACGTTCCCACTCTGATAAACCATCCTCACAAACCTTCTCTCTTCTTAGGTTTCCCACATATGCTTCCCTGCTTTGATTAAAAAGAGAGAGAGAGAGAGAACTTCCACAAGCTTTGCAACCACATAAACCCAGTACTAGCACCCGTTATTCAGATGCTCTTTCTTCCCTCCTTTTAGAATGGATGAACTGTCCATACCCCTGTCTAAAACCAGCGTGCACTTGTGCCCTAGATCCATCCATCCTCTTCCATTTACTTAGGGACACCTCTGCAGCAATACTCTTCTGCTCTCTACTGGATCGTCCCCACCAATATATGTACCAGTCTTTCTTTAATTAAAAAACACACACACTCGGGCGCCTGGGTGGCTCAGTTGGTTAAGCAACTGCCTTCAGCTCAGGTTATGATCCTGGAGTCCCTGGATCGAGTCCCGCATCGGGCTCCCTGCTCGGCAGGGAATCTGCTTCTCCCTCTGACCCTCCCCCCTCTCAGGTGCTCTCTCTCTCTCTCAAATAAATAAATAAAATCTTAAAAAAAAAAAAAACACACTCTTCACCTCACTTCCTCCTTTAGCTCCTCCTCTTTTTTCCCTTTCCTTTGACAGCAAAGTCCTTTAAGAGGTATTTATACTTGCTATCTTTATTTCCTTTGCCACTTTCTCTTGAAACTACTTCAGACCCACTCTCTTCCCACCCACCATTTCACTAGAAACTGTTCTTATGATCACGATCACTGACTTCTACTTTGCTACATCCAATAGTCCATTCTCAGTGAACTGTCAGCAGCATTTGACCTTAGTACTTCCCTCTGGAAACGCTGTGTGCACTTGCCAGGACACCAGACTCTTATGTACGGTTTTCTCATCTTACTGACTATTCTTCTCAGTCTCATTTCTGGTTCTGCCTCACCTGCCTTGCCTCTTAACCATGGAGTACCCTAAGATCTTGGGCCTCTGTCTACACACTCTCCTTTGAAGAGCTCATTCTGCTTCCTGGCTTTAAATTCCATCTAAACTTTGACAGTTCCCAAATTTGAACCTCCAGCCTGAACCTCTTCCTTGAATTCCGCAGTGTCCGCAAATGTCCAACTAACTACTTGATTTCTCCAGTCGGATTTTTGTAGTTAGGTCAGACTTTCACAGTTAATGGCAACTCGTCCATTTTAATTCCTAAGACCAAAAAACCTTGGAGTCAGCCTTGATTCCTCTTTCTCCCATATTCCTTATTCATTTGCTTGGCAGATCCTGCTAGCTCTGTCTTCAGTTCATGTTTGGAATCCACTGCTTTTCACCACCTCTACAACCAAGACCCATGCTGTCATCATGTCTCACCTGGATGATTTTCCTAACTCTTATCCCTGCACCTCTTCAGCCTCCTTACCCGGCCGCCAAACTGTGGCTTTTAAAATTAAGTAGATTATGTCATTCCTTTTCTCAAACCTTCCAGTGTTTTTCCATCTCACTCAAGAGTTAAGGCCAAAATCCTCGCACTGGCTGTAAGGCCTGTGTAGTCTCCTGGTACTCGTCCCTTACTCTTCTGCAGCGCCATTGCCTCCTGAATGTTCTTAAACCAGACGAGTTCCTCCCTCAGGGCCTCTGCACTATGCACGGAATGCTCTTCTGGCAGGTGTCTGAAATAGCTAATTCCCTCACCTCTTTCAATTATTATTTTTAACATCTCAGAGAGGCCCAGTCTGACCACCCTATTACAAATTGTGATTCTCCCTCCCGAGTCTGGTATACCTTATCACCTCCCCCTGCTTTAGCTTTCCCATAGCACCTATCATCTTGGAATATTCTCTACAATTGACTTGTCATTTATTGCCTGTCTGCTCCCACTGGAATATAAGCTACACAAGGACACAGTGTCTGTAGAATGTATCCATTAATAGAGCTGGCCCACCCAGGACAGTGCCTGACACATAGGAAGTACACGAGAAATATTTGCTGAATGAATGAACCATTTCTAGGTTTTTAGATGCTCATATCATTGGCCATTCTGGTGGCTTTGTGAGTTATATGGCATCTAAACTTAATGACTTCTGGACTGGCCCAATTAAATGATCTGTCTTCAAGATGACAACCACATAACTGTGAATATAGTCTTTTGTCCAGAGTAAAGCTGTAACTGTCTCTGCAGTTTAGTTAGTGATCTTTAATGATATAAATTAATCTTTTTTTTTTAATTATTGGTCTTAAACTAACAAAATCCTTTTCCTAATAATCAGATGCTGGCTTCTCTGGAATTGTATTTGGAATATTGCATGGTGGTACAGTACGTTATTGTTCACAGTCATTCCCTGAGGACATAGAGTGTGTAATATCCTCATTTTTATCATGGTGATGTATAGTAATATGCAGAATGGCATTATTTAGGAAAAATCATTTTGTTGATGCTAGACTCTGAAAATTAAATTGTAAAATAATTAATTTTTTAAAGGCTCTCCCAAGTCATGAGAGTAAAAAGTTTTTAGATGCCAGGCTATTTGTTCTGAAAAAATGGCCAAAGTTTCTATAAGCTGGTAATTCATTCATTCATACTTTGGTCTCTTAGCTGCTGTATTTACTCAGCCTGATCTCCTCCCTGTATTTCTCAGCCTAATCTCCCTTCTCTTTCTCTTTGCTCATCCTGTTTTTCCACTGCCATGCCTCCCCACTTGCCCCTCTGGGTTTCCCTAATTTTCCTCCATGTAATGGAAGCATGTCCCTTGCTTTTAGCCACTCCCTCTCCTTCAGCTTTTCATGGTTTATTATAATTATGTTTAAAGATATAGTACTTTTGATATCCTATAGTGCCTGGACTCTTTTATGTGCTCAGATATTTCATAAATTCATCGTGGTAACAAAACAAGATTCCTTTGAGATTCTCCTAAATTTTAAGTCTGTTCAGTGCTACAGTATTCTGTAGATGCTGGATCAAAGATGAATAAGACAGTATCCTGCCCTTGAGGAGCTTAAAGTCTAGGGGGTTCCACTTTCAAGATGGGTGTTTGCTGGGTTGCCTGGGTGGCTCAGTCGGTTAATCGCCTGCCTTCAGCTCAGGTCATGACCTCAGACTCCTCCTTGCTCAGTGGGGAGCTCTCTGCTTGCTTCTCCCTCTGCTTGGGCATACTTTCTTTCTCTCTGACAAATAAATAAATACAACCTTAACAAAAAAAAGATACATGTTTGCTTATTGTGGAGCTAAAATGAAACAGATTTGAGAATCCGTGGGGAAGGGCAGGGCCCTGGAGATGATGGGGAGGAAGAAGCAAGAATATTCACAAAATATTGGCCAGTTTATATTCTAAAAGAGATGTGATTCACTAGAGAACTGGAGAACATAACAGCAGAAAGTCATTCCTATCCATGGTGAGATAGAGGTGGTGGAAGTGTTTGAGTTTCCAGGGTGTGCATTGTCCCCATGATGTAAGGGTTTCCTAGAGGACAACTTTCTCTTTCAGGATATTTGTCTACTAAGTAGTAAATGGAATGGAACAGTTTTTCCAAAATCAGAAAACATATCTAAATGTAGCCATCTGCCACTAAGATGTTTTACTACGTTTGTTTGTTTTGTGTGTGTATGGTTTCCCTCCTTACATTCAAGGTGAAGGAAGCACTCAAAGGAAAAGCAAATAATAGAAGCAGAACAAGGAAAAATTAGGCTGAAGCTGATAGGGAGGGGACCAGCAGACTCTAATGAATTCTCGATGTTTATAAAAATACTCAGAGTGCTAGGAAGGGAAGGCATAGCACATGAAATAGCACCTTCTATTTGCGCTCATGTCACTGTGTATTCATTCCACTAAAGCACTTACAGTAGCAGGCTTATTCGTCTTCCTCTTCTAAACTATAAGGTCCTGGAGGATAGAGACTTATGTCTCAAAGTGAATATCCAGCACCTCGGAAGTGCCTGGTCCATAGAAATGGCTAAGCAAAGAGGGCTGTTCTAATGAATGTTGGAGCCACCCCAAACACATTGGTCAGTCAAGTGACTGCGGAGTGCCATGTCCGCGGGTGCTGGTTAGGCCTACCTCCTTCTAAAAATTGTCCAAATCCTGGTGTAGACTTACAAGGTCTGAAGATGGGTTTTAGGGAACTTTTAAAAGGACAAAGACAAGACCCTTGGCCAGCCGGCAGTTTCATTTTACAATGAAGTAGCATCTCTGGTGCTGCAGTGGTTTGTAGGGAGGAAGTGTTTTCCACACAGGTAGCACAGGGAAGGTGTCTAAGAAACAGCTCTTTGTCATGAACATAGGATTTCTGAATCTGCGGCTTCTGTTTAGACCCCAGCTTACTCTTTGCCCAGCTGAAAAACTGCAAAATTATTAACCTCTTATGCCTCAGTTTATTAGGTGGATTTAAATTTCAGTTAATAGCACATCTCCCTTCATTGGTTCCCTTGATGACTCAAAAACATACCCATTTCTTGTAAATGACATGAATGAAGTGGAGAAACTCTTAAGTTGGAAGTGATTTTTTCATTCCATTTGGAGTGCAGGGTTAATACTCGTCTGTGCACTTCATTTTCTTCCCTAGGGCTTTGCTGTAATTAAAAGGCCATCCCAGTATGTTTGTGTATCCATCACTTCTGGTTCCATTTTATCTTCTCAAAATTTCAAAATGTTCGAATTGTAGACATTAGAATAGTAGCCTTGATTCAACTTTGTAACTAAAACTCTTTCAAATGTCACATTTCTGATGAGCTTGTTCTTGTACACCTGTGTTTTATATGTTCTAATGGTGTTGGGATTTGGTAACATTGTAATCACGTGTCCAAAAAAAGGGCAGTTTCACAGGAGTCACGGAGAGCCTTGCTTCAGGTAACCTAGAACCAAGCTGATGAACCCACTTCCTTACGTACAGCTCGGGATCCTCCAGTGTCTTCACTGTCACAGAGAAAGACCATTTTCTTTCCACAGTCTCCATGTTATCGGATGAAAAAAAAAATAAACAAGTTTCTCTTAGTATCAGCCACCCCCGGATTGTTGACACTGTGCCACACTCTTTACCTGCTTTTAGCTCTCAGAACCTTTGGGTGCGGGGGTTACTCCTCTGAACCCCTTTCTCCAAATCACGTTTCAAAAACCACAAAGTTGGTGGCTGTCTAGCCAGCAGGGAACAATTTCTCAATAAAAGTACATTATAAATTTATTTATTTATCTTATAACTCCTACAAATTGAAAGTAGAATTTTCTGGGATACAAAATCAGTCTTTAAATCCAATGTCTTGGGCCCCTGGGTGGCTCAGTTGGTTAAGCGACGGCCTTCGGCTCAGGTCATGATCCTGGAGTCCCGGGATCGAGTCCCGCATTGGGCTCCCTGCTCAGCGGGGAGTCTGCTTCTCCCTCTGACCCTCTTCCCTCTCGTGCTCTCTCTCTCTCATTCTCTCTCTCTCAAATAAATAAATAAAATCTTTAAAAAAAATAAAATAAAATAAATCCAATGTCTTTTTAGCTTCTTACATATGAGATTAAAAGATGACTATCTCTCTGTTACAGGGATTTAAGTCCCCTGGTTAGCTTTCTGTAAAAGACCAACCCTAAGGGCCCTCGTTGGCAACCCTGTCAGGACCCCTCTAACTCTTGAGAGCTTTTTCTGTATCTTCACTTAATAAACTTCTATCGCTTTACTTAAAAAAAAAAAAAAAAAAAAAAGATTACTGTCTCTCACCTAGACGATTATAGTCATTTCTGAAACCACGGCTTCTATAGGTGAACATTTTGTGTCTGAAGAAAAGTTAATTTAAATAAATGCTAATATGTCCTTATTGCCATACAAGTCCAAAAGAGACTCTGCTGGTTTGAAATCCTTTAAGATTTCAGAATGTATAAATTTGCTTGTTTTAACGTTATCTCACGTTATTTCAGAAATCTTGCCAGAAACCTGTGGACAAATATATCGAGTATGATCCTGTTATCATCTTGATTAACGCTATTTTATGCAAAGCCCAGGCCTACAGACATATTCTTTTCAATACTAAAATAAACGTAAGTTGTAATAATTTCTTTACTTTCTAATTTTACTTGATGATGCTTTTGCACTTTTAAAGAACAATAATTTTGACCAGAATTAAAGAACATTATTTAGGGGCACCTGGGTGGCTCAGTCGTTAGACGTCTGCCTTCGGCTCAGGTCATGGTCCCAGGGTCCTGGGATAGAGCCCTGCATCGGGCTCCCTGCTTGGTGGGAGGCCTGCTTCTCCCTCTCCCACTCCCCACGCTTGTATTCCCTCTCTTGCTGTGTCTCTCTCTGTCAAATAAATAAATAAACTCAAAAAAAAAAAAACATTATTTTTAAAAGAAATTCTAGGGGCGCCTGGGTGGCTCAGTTGGTTGGACATCTGCCTTCAGCTCAGGTCGTGATCCTGGGGTCCTGGGATCAAGCCCCTCATCGGGCTCCCTGCTCAGTGAAGGGCCTGCTTCTCCCTCTCCCTCTGCTGCTCCCCCTGCTTGTGCTTTCTCTTGCTCACTCTCCGGCTCTCTGTCAAATCAATAAATAAAATCTTTAAAGAAGAGAAGAAAAGAAGAAAATTCTAACAAGGATGGGTCTTTTATCTCAAGAATGTAAAAAAAAAAAAAGTCTGGAAGTTTCTAGAAATAACAATCATTAATAAACAAGGTTCACAATGTTCAGTGAATATTTAAGAATATGCTTACTGGGAGGAAACTGACAAGCCATAATCTGGATTGCCTTTTAGTAGGTTACTTTTTAAAAAAGACATTGATTATTTCTAACAATAAAATTAAATATATCCAGGTAGGGAGAGAATTACACCTAGAAGAAGTAAGCAAACGTTAAAAGAGAAATATTTTCAGTTTATTGCATTTTATATTCTGAGGGAATCCCTCCCCTCCACCTCCCAAGTTAAATAACCAGGGCAGTTTTTAAATTGCTAGAGCGTTAATTCCCAAACTTTGGAACACAATAGAATCTCATGGGGGAGAGGGAGGGGATGGCAGTTAATCCTTCCAAGCGAGGCCTCACCCAGAATCAAATCAGAATCTTTGGGAATGGATTCAGGCATCAGTGTTTCTTAAAACTCCCCAGGTAGGGGCCCCTGGGTGGCTCAGTCGTTAAGTGTCTGCCTTCGGCTCGGGTCATGATCCCAGGGTCCTTGGGATCCAGTCCTGCATCGGGCTCCCTGCTCAGCGGGAAGCCTGCTTCTCCCTCTCCCACTCCCCCTGCTTGTGTTCCTGCTCTCACTGTCTCTCTCTGTCAAATGAATAAATAAAATTTAAAACAAAAAAACAAAAAACAAAAAACTCCCCAGGTAATTCCAGAGTGGGGCCAACTAGAAGAAGCTCAAGCCCACACTGATACCTGTTCCTGGACTGCATTGTATTTGCACACTTTCTTTTCCCCACTTTCTATTGACATAGAAAGGCCAACCCATAGAGTATGTATTTTTTTTATTTTTTAATTTTCAAAGGTTTTATCTATCTATTTGAGAGAGAGAGAGCACACATGCTGGGGGTGGGAGCTGGGAGCAGAGCCTGCCTAATGCAGGGCTCAGATCCCATGACCCTGAAATCATGACCTGAGCCGAAACCAAGAGTCCAACGCCCCAACTGACTGAGCCATCCAGGAGCCCCAGTAGAGTAATGTATTTTAAAAAGTCAATTCTTGGGGCTCCTGGGTGGCTCAGTTGGTTCAGTGTCTGACTCTTGATAGCCCCTCAGGTCTTGATCTCAGGGTTGTGAGTTTAAGCCCCATGTTGAGCTCCATGCTGGGCATGGAGCCTACTTAAAAATAAAAAAATAAAAAGCCGATTTTTGTTGCCTGGTATTTTCTTTTTTGCCAAAATTTCAGACTCTTTAAAATTGCAGGGGATTTTCTACCTTTTAATTGCTGTCTTCAATATATGAATTTATACTCATCTGGCAAAGGGCCATTTTTTTAAAAATTTATGTTCAGACTAATAGTTTCCTATGAAGTATGATGGAATCTTCAGGTTAAATCTATTCTCATGGCTGCTTCCACCTATCCCTGAGTCACATAAATTCTGTGCCTGATTCTGTTCTGATTCAGGACAGATGCCGAAAATATAGTGAAGGGTGAACTGCTGTTTAAAGCAGTGTTTTTTGGGTGCCTGGGTGGCTCAGTCGTTAAGGGTCTGCCTTAGGCTCGGGTCATGACCCCAGGGTCCTGGGATTGGGCCCCACATCGGGCTCCCTGCTCGGCGGGGAGCCTGCTTCTCCCTCTCCCACTCCCCCTGCTTGTGTTCCTGCTCTCGCTGTGTCTCTGTCAAATAAATAAAGTCTTAAAAAACAAAACAAAAAAAAGCAGTGTTTCTTAACTAGGGGCATACATCAGAATCCTCCTTCCCCCAGAACTGTTTCAAAATTACATGTCTAGGATTACTTCCAATGATCCTGGATCAGGATTGGGGCCTAGACATTTGCAGTCTGAAAAATCTCCCCTGTGATTCTGATGGATGTTGCTGACAAAGAACCACTGGTTTACAGACAACACAATGACACACTTAACTCGGCAGTTCTGAATTTGAAAATCTATGAAGTGGGAGCCTCTTCAAAACGACAGATACTTAGCTATGTCTGTGCCTATTTGGTATTATGTATAATTGTTTCTTTACCCAATGAATGGCATTGTCTTTTTGACTCCCAGATGCATGGAAAACTCTGCATATTTTGTTTGCTTTGTGAAGCATACCTGAGATGGTGGCAGCTTCAAGATTCAAACCAGAACACTGATCCTAACGACTTCATCAGATATGCCAAGGAATGGGATTTCTATAGAATGTTCGCAATTGCCTCTCTAGGTAGGAAGAAGCCGTGCTTTCTATTCTTAGTGAACTAGTAACCACTATTCTGATTAAAAGTGAGGTGGGTGGTCTTAATCATTGCTAAGAGGAGGGGGTTAATACAGGACTTGAGACTAAATGTTCAGCTGTGTCACCAACCTGCTAGGTGAGTTTGTCTAAATTAGCTGCTTTCTTTTTTATTTGTTGCCATACATATGTTACAGAAATGGTTATATTTAGCAGATTAGAGAGTTTCATAAAATTATCTTGAGGCATAATATTTTGGGTTTTTTTGTTGTTTTAATTTTATTTATTTATTTGACAGAGACACAGCGAGAGAGGGAACACAAGCAGGGGGAGTGGGAGAGGGAGAAGCAGGCCACCTGGGCGCCTGGGTGGCTCAGTTGGTTGAGCAACTGCCTTCGGCTCAGGTCATGATCCTGGAGTCCTGGGATCGAGTCCCACATCGGGCTCCCTGCTCAGCGGGGAGTCTGCTTCTCCCTCTGACGCTCTTCCCTCTCGTGCTCTCTCTCATTCTCTCTCTCTCAAATAAATAAATAAAATCTTAAAAAAAAAAAAAGAAGAAGAAGAAGCAGGCCACCCGCAGAGCAGGGAGCCTGACGTGGGACTCGATCCCAGGACCCCATGACCACGACCTGAGCCGAAGGCAGACGCCCAACGACTGAGCCACCCAGGCGCCCCGAGGCATAATATTGTTGATAAAATTCCTCAATTTAATTTCTCAGTTGTCCAATTTAAAGATTATGTAGGTCCCATCTTCATTGAAACAGATGGATAATTGCCAGACATTATCCAATGTATTATGCTAATTGCATTGAACTATTGCAGTCTGTTTACTAGGGAATACTTCTTATTTATCTACTACATACAGGGAAAGTGGCTACTGCCCCAAAATTCCTTCAGTTCCAGAATTGCTTTTCTTCAGAATTCGAGTTTTTGACGTAGGTCAGAATTGTATTAATTTCTGTGACTATTTTCTTATTTTCTGTCTTCCATGTTTCTCTGCTTCTAAACTCTTTGATTATAAAGAAATATTATTATAATAATATCAAGTCTCCAGTTCACTGCGGTGTCGGATTTCTGGATTATGTCGTCTTTTGTCCCATTTTCTTCTCAGTCTGCCCTCACTCCCTTGGTCCCCTCATGCAGGTCTGAGGTTCTAAAATGTTTATGCTGGGGTGCCTGGCTGGCTTAGTTGGTAGAGCAAGTGACTGTAGATCTCTCGAGGTTATGAGTTCCAGCCCCACGTTGGGTGTAGAGATTACTTAAAAATAAAATCTTTTTAAAAATAAGTAAATAGGGGCGCCTGGGTGGCTCAGTCGTTAAGCGTCTGCCTTTGGCTCAGGTCATGATCCCAGGGTCCTGGGATGGAGTCCCACATTGGGCTCTCTGCTCAGCGGGAAGTCGGCTTCTCCCTCTCCCACTCCCCCTGCTTGTGTTCCTGCTCTCGCTGTCTCTCTCTCTGTCAAATACATAAATAAAATCTTTAAAAATAAATAAATAAATAAAATTTATATGCTAAGAATTCCCAAACCTACATAATAATATAAAAAAACATCCTTGAAGGGGTGCCGGGGTGGCTCAGTTAGGCAACTGCCTTCAGCTCAGGTCATGATCCCAGAGTCCTGGGATCGAGTTCCGCATCAGGCTCCCTGCTCAGCAGCGGAGTCTGCTTCTCCCACCCTCCCCCTGCTCATGCTATCTCTCTCGCTCACTCTTTCTTTTTCAAATAAATAAATAAGAATCTTAAAAAAAAAATCCTTGAAAACATTGCCTAAGCCAAGAATGAGAACCTGATGTAAATTTAAGCTTTTGCTTTTAAAATTTCTAAGAGTAAGCTCTTTTATGTCCATAATTCTTAATATGAAAAATAAACCAGGCTTATTTCCAAAGTTTGGAATTACTGTAGCACCTACTCTATAGTGGATATTTTGATACTCAAATCAGAAATCTTTTTCTACTGTTACTTAACTTTTTTATCCAGTATTAGGTGATGAACCCCTAAAATAGCTTATAGAAAATGTGTTACATAAATACAGCATTTTATAATTTAAACATTGCTTTTGGGGCTCCTGGGTGGCTCAGTTGGTTAAGTGACTGCCTTCGGCTCAGGTCATGATCCTGGAGTCCCAGGATCGAGTCCCCCATCGGGCATCGGGCTCCCTGTTCAGCAGGGAGTCTGCTTCTCCCTCTGACCCTCCCCCCTCTCATGCTCTCTCTCTCTCTCTCTTATTCTCTCCCTCAAATAAATAAAATCTTAAAAAAAATAAACACTGCTTTTACAGTTTTATGAACTTAATGTTTGCAACCATCCTCTTTGGTGGGTAGGTTGGCATTCTCCCCTATGTATGGCTGGGGAAGCACAGAAGTACTTGGAAGGCAGGTGATTTCCCCAAAGTCCCTTAGCCAGTTAATGTCAGCACAGAGACGGGTGGCTCTCTGGGCTACCCACGCGGTGTTTCTCCATACAGCACTCTGTAGGCAGGTAGCTGGTCCTGCTGAGCCCATCGGATCCGTGAACGCCTCAGGAGTAGAGGCTCCATGATACCTGCCTGTGAAAGACTGTGCAGAGCCCAAGGGCTGGTGCAGGTGCATAAATCTCTCGAGTTCTGAGTTAGAAAGATGTGGAGGTTAACTGGTCCGCCCCTCCGTCCAGTACAAGAAATTCTTCTCTCAGTTCTGCGAGGTGGTCTAGCTTTGTTTGAATATCTGCAATGACAGGAGAAAACCCATTATTGTTAGATCGTTCTTGTTGTTAAGGAGTTCTTTGTTGCTGTTATTAAAGTTATTTTTGTCCAAATGGCAGGCTGTAAGATCTGCCTATTTGAGCAGATCCCTACAGTTGACAAGTCCTCGAGTTACTTTGCAGGGAGATGGGGTGTCTCCCCTGAGGGATATATCAAATGTCATATAGGTCATCCATCCAAAATTATTTTTACTGATTCTAATCACCTGTGTTTGGAATCTTTTTAATTTGGCTCTATTTGGTTATACAACATTTTAGGAAAAATACAGTTGTCTCTCCTATAATTTGATATATGTGTTCCAGGAAAAACCTGATTCTGCAGAAACCTGAATAACACAGCTTATGAGGAAAAATAAAATTAGGGACAGACCCCTCAAAACATATGCTGCTGGGTAATCAGAAGACTAACAATCTTAATAAACATAATATCACAGTTGAAAAAAATGTTAAATTCCTAGTTAAAGGGAACAGAACAGACTGTGCTCTGTCCTGTGGACCCAGTGGAACTGTGGCTTCTTCTGGTCTGGACTCAGTCTATGAATCCTTTCTGGAAGGATACGGAATAGTACTCAGAAAGTTTGTTGAAATGAGTAAGGGAAGTTTTAAAATTAGGTAACAGTATTCAAAATTTGTAGATAATAGGCAAGAAATAGTGGGAGACTGAACAAAGAAAACATCTTCGCATGTAATTTTTAGGGTGGGTCCCAGTTTTCAGACTTAAAAATTTCCTCCGTACTCCTGTTTTATTCTTTCTTTTTTTTTTTAAAGATTTTTTTATTTTTATTTATTCATGCGAGACAGAGAGAGAGAGAGAGAGAGAGAGAGGCAGAGGGAGAAACAGGCTCCCAAGGAGCAGGGACCCGATGCGGGACTCGATTCCAGGACTCCGGGATCATGACCTGAGCTGAAGGCAGACGCTTAGCCATCTGAGCCACCCAGGTGCCCTGTTTTATTCTTTCTGTGGAGATCTGGAATGCTGAAGCTGTTTAAAGAGAACCTTACCGGGCGCCTGGGGGGCTCAGTTGGTTGGGCGACTGCCTTCGGCTCAGGTCGTGATCCTGGAGTCCCTGGATCGAGTCCCGCATCGGGCTCCCTGCTCAGCGGGGAGTCTGCTTCTCCCTCTGACCCTCCCCCCTCTCGTGTGCTCCCTCTCTCTCATTCTCTCTCTCAAATAAATAAATAAAATCTTTTAAAAATAAATAAATAAATAAAATAAACAGAACCTTACTTCCTAGAAAGAACTTCCGAGAGCTGATAATTACAGTTCTCACGGACTAACTTTTACTTCAATGGGCCATGAAATACTTCATGAAAAAATTGCTGAAATATGCTTCTGCAATCACACCAGCAGGATTTGACACAAAAGGCAGGGGCTTATTTATTTAAAAAAAAATAAAAGGGAGGGGGATAAAGAAAATTTGATCTTGATGAAGCAGTTCTAATGAAGTCAGCTGGTAAGTTGTATTTTGGAATTGTGGTTTCTTTGTTTTTAGAGAGAGATGGTTTGGATAGAGACATTCATATTTCTGTTTTTCATTCTCTCCTTAGAACAAACTGCCTTTTTTATTGGCATTTTTACTTTCCTGTGGGTAGAACGACCGATGACAGCGAAAAAAAAACCCAACTTCATTTTGCTGCTGAAAGCATTATTATTATCTAGCTATGGAAAACTCTTGCTGATTCCAGCTGTCATTTGGGAGCATGACTACACACCCCTGTGCCTCCGACTCATTAAAATATTTGTCCTTACATCAAATTTTCAGGCAATTAGAGGTATGCTTATCTTTTATTCTGTCTTCTCAGCCTCCAACCCACATACAAGCTTAAAGCCTTGTTTCTCCAACTCCATCTTACGAACCCTGTTAAACACTGGAATTCTCCATAGAATCACAACAACACCTGACGTTCCTCTAGTACCTTATACATAGCACATAGTCCGTATTTGCTCAGATTAATGACATAGTAGTTTTTAGTTTTCGGAATGCTTTCATGTGCATTATCTCAGTCCTGGGAGGTTGGAAGGGCAGTCCCGATTACCCCCACTTTGTGCATGACCTGTCCAGATGTCCACGGCCTGGCACTCGTCAAGGCAGGAAGCACAGTTTCTGCTATACCAACAAAGGGAGGAGCAGCCCTATGGGTCTTCATTTTTTCCCATCCATTGTGAGAAGGGTTATTTTAAATGAGCCTCCTAACTGATAACGTTTTATCGAAATGCTTATCATCTTGTAAACTGTAAAACTGAGAAAGCTCCATTTTTTTCCTGCTAACCTCTTTATAACCTTAGAATTCATTTTTTTTATTTTCTCCTTCCTTATTCATGGAAATCTGTGTCTTTATTTCAGGAGGAGAAGCTTAGTGTTTTTGTTATAAGCACATGCTGTGTTTCTCTTCAGAGATGAAAACGGAGAAGGTAGCAGCCCAGATGAATAAGAACGAATAGAGATTCTCTAAAAAACAGCTTTGCAGAACAATTCCATTCATAATGCCACAGAATTTACATGCCAATATCACCTAATGAAACTCTTAAGAACTTATGAGTTGCCTTTTCCTTTTCAGTGACCCTGAACATCAACCGAAAGCTCTCCTTTCTGGCCATCTTGAGTGGTTTACTGATGGAAAGCACCATGGTCTACTTCTTCCAGAGGATGGAATGGGATGTGGGAAGTGATTGTGCCATCTATAAATCCCAAGACTTTTGAAGAGGTACAGAAGCCTCTCGGTGTTCACACATTCAGACAGGCATCCTCCTCAAGCGAGACAAATGCCATCACAAAATAAGGAGATGCCCTTCCATGACCCCTCCCCCCCAGCCCCTGATTGTCCCCGGGTCACTCCATCCCCCTCGAGGACTGTAGTGTGCATCTCAGGGTCCTTGTCACCCTCAGGGACATCCACATCTGTGTTTTGTTGCTTCTAGAGGCCCTGTTCTCCACTTCTCTAATAGCTGCACCCCACACCCCTTGTACGGAGACCCCAGGCTCTGAATCCTCTCCCCCCCGCCACCATCCCCTCTCTGGGCTGCCTTTGCACCTCCAGTGCCTTGACCCCCACTTCAGGCCTGCCTTGCCTCTCTTTTTAGCGCACCTGCAAATGTAGGCAGCTGCCAATTCATCGCCATTAGTCCCTTGAAACTGCTTCTTGCCCTCCTGCCAGATGTGCCTTCTTAGAGCCATTTGGGTGAGTCTCCATCTGTGTTCCCTGAGCCCAGCGCTGCGTGTGCACAGAGCCTCGGCTGGCCCTCGGTGTTGCTCCTCTGCCTTCGTGGTCACCTCCAGGGAACCTCCCATCGCATGGTCCTGGAACCTTCCCCACGCTCCTTCCTCCCAGGTCTGCCCTCACTTTGTTGAGAGTCAGGCCCATTACAGAGTCCTTGAACTTCCTTCCTTCTTCAATCCAGAACTGCTTTGGTCGCCTGTCTTCTTTCCTCCTTCTGTCCCTCCTGGCCCGGACTTGTGCCCCTCTTCCTATCTGTAAGTGTCCTTCCCCGCTCTGGTCACAGTCAGACTCCTGGCCCACAGCCTGTGGCGGCTGTAGGGTCGGGGAGCAGCCTCGGAGGCTGGGTTGTGGGGTGCAGGTGACGAAGGCACAGAAGCAGCAGGGAAACAGCCCAGCTCCGAACCTTCTCCACCTCTGCTCGCTCCTCAGTCCTGTGGCCTCAGTCTCCCCTCGTGCTGGGTCAGTGCTCCTCCATTATCCACTCCACCGCACTGGCTCCTTCCCCTTGGCAAAATACACACACGGTTCTCTGTTCTAGAACAACTGGTCTCGGCCTGTTTCTTCACCACCTTCCCTCTTTGTGAAACATACTTTCTCCCACGGTCTCCTGAATCTGCACTCCTAAAAATCAGAGGGAAGCCGGTTGCCAGCTCTTCGCCAGAGTCCTCCCCCCTCAGGCCCTCCTTCTGAAACAGTCTGCCCGTGCTGGCAGGTCGGTCTGTTTGCAGACTTCCCAGCCTGTCCCCGGACTCGTCCTCGGCGCTCCCGTTCTCTCCTGCTGCTCACACGCTCAGCGGTGGCAGTGCCCATGGCCCGGCCCGTTCCTTCTCCCGGGGCTCAGGCCGCCCGGACCCAGCAGCTCCAGCTCGCCCCGCGCCCGGCCGCCGCGCCCTTCCACCGCCTCCCCGCCTGTCGACCCACCAAAACCCAATCCTTTCCTGATGCTTTTCTCTGGAAATGTCCCTTCTCACTCAGCCCCCAGGGCAGCCCTTGTTGTCTCCTGCCTAAAGGTTGGTAGCAGCCTCCTCACAGCCTTCCACCCACACACCGGTGCCACAGAAACCTTCAGCAAGCATCGCTTCTGGGGGTCCCTCCGAATTTTTCACCATTTCTTATTGCCAACACGGGAGTTTCTAGTCTCTTCCCGAAGAACGTCTTTAAGCTTTCTCTTCGCTTCCGTGTGGTCCTCGATAGTCCGTTCCTAAGTCCCTCTCCACAGGCATGTTCCTGCCCACGTCCTCTGCTACAGTCTCCTCTTCATCTCCAAATATGGCTTATGCTCTCCTCGGGGCCTCTTCTCCCCCTAACCAGGATACAGTCAGTCCTCTCTGCTTCTCCGTGGAAGGAAAACTGTCCAAAACCTCGAGTCCGTGGCCTCGCTCCCACTGACTTGCCAGGGCCCAGCTCAACACCACAGCGCTTGTGTCCAGGACCTGCCGAGACTGCTGGGGCCTGACATTAGGCCCCGACGTCCACAGGCGCTTCTAGTTGTCAGGCTATCCGTCGTCATTTCCGGTCAGGATAATAAGGTCACCTGTCTCTCACGACCATTTGAAAACCGTTCTCCTCCTTTATGTTACCTCATGTTTTCTATTGCCCTTGTCTTATATTCAGATCCCACGTGTTTATGCCTGACTCCCCCAGCCTGGTAAACAGAGACCGGGAGGTTATACGTGAGGAAATATGTATCTCCCACAGCACAGGGCCTGCCCTAGTAAATATTTGATGAATTCATTTTCAGCAGAATGTGCCACTCTAAATGCTGCTTTTATTATCCACAGTTGGATTCTTTATCATCTGTGGCATGACCAACTACATCCAAAAAAGAGAAGATATAAAATACAAGCTCCTTGTGTGTATTGAGCAAAACGAAGCAAAGATTTGGATACACTTTCTGAAAAAAGAAAAAGCGATGGTTATGGCATCGGAAACCCCAAAACTATCACGTGTCATCCCTCCCCCATATAAGAGACCACCAAACCATATATAGATACACACAGACATATGCAGAGACACAGATGCAAGGGCGCTGCCGTAGGGAGTGAGGTACGTCACAAGCAAAGACTCGGGCAACGCAGACCCCTTCAGGTAAGCATTGAACTGGAGGAGGAACGTGAACACATGACTCACACGTAATAAAAGATCTATGTTTCCATTCCTTTGACATGTTTATATCTCTTTAATTTAAATGTTAGGTTATTGCTTGTAAATAATATATTTAAAATAGTATTTCGTGTTCCTACAACAACAGAAACACTGTTCTCTTAATAAAGTCAAAACAAACTGAGCTTTTGTAAATTTTTTGTAAATTTCCGTATTTTCTCCTATAACTAACTTACTCTTTGGAAATGGCTGATCCAAAAACAAACAACTAAAACCAGTGAATTGTACACTTGACAGGGGTGAATTCTATCTCAGTAAAGCCGATACTAGATAAATGGATAAGATAGCACCTCCCCCTTTTCTCTCTCCCCGTTTCACTTACTTGTTCTTTTTTAGTCGTCATTTACTTTTCATGCTGCAGGAATTACTGAGCACCTACTGTGTGTGTCAGACAGTATGGACACTGGGGAGCAGCCCTTAAAGTTTATGGAGCAGCGGGGCGCCTGGGGGGCGCAGTCAGCTGGGCATTCGAATCTGGATTTCAGCTCAGGTCATGGTCGCAGAGGCATGAGATCGAGCCCAACGTCGGGCTCTGTGCTGGGCGCGGATCCTGCTTAAGATTCTCTCTCTCCCTCCCTCTGCCCCTTCTCCCCACGCTCGCTCTCTCCTCTCTCTCTCCCCTACCTAAAATAAATCTTTAAAAGTTTACAGAGCAGTGATAGATTTGGAAACATGAGAAGGTGATGGCAGTACAGATAAGTACTGTGAAGGGGTAACATGGGGATCTAGGGAGATGCAGAGTAGGAACACCTGTTCTCCTCTTAGAAGTCCAGAAGGACCTCCGACAGGAGGGGGAGAGGAGAGGAACTTTCCAGTATCCCCGGAGGGAGAATAACCACACATGCCGAGTCTTAGAGGGGAGAGAGTGTCACGTGTGTGTGCAGGGAACTGAATATCCCACACAACTAGGTGGAGTGTGGACACTGGGAGTTTTAAAAATGATACCAGGAAGCCATGTAAAGTCGGATAATGAGGGGCCTCGGGAATTGTCACTTATCCCAAGGATCATGAAACCAACACAGAATGTTAGAAAGAAGGATCCAAAGTAAAAAAAAACCAACTGGAATGACATCGCAGAACAGCCACAGGATGGAGCCTGTAAAAGGCAAGGAAAGAGGGAGCAAAACTTGGTTTAAAGGAGTACAACTGAAAAGAAAGAGTCATTTAAAAAACAAGTATTAAAGGGGCACTGGGGTGTCTCAGTCGGTGAAGAGTCTGCCTTCGGCTCAGGTTGCAATCCCAGGGTCCTGGGATAGAGCCCCATGTTAGAGGGTGGAGGGTCTCCCTCTCCTCCCCTCATGCTGGCTCCCTCTCTCCCTCTCTCTCAAATAAATAAATCCTAAAAAAAAAAGTATTAGAAAAAATGACAATGTGATATGCTGATCACAGCTTCTCAAATCTTTTTTTTTTTTTTTTAAAGATTTTATTTGACAGAGAGAGACAATGAGAGAGGGAACACAAGCAGGGGCAGAGGCAGAGGGAGAAGCAGGCTTCCCGTGGCGCAGGCAGCCCAATGCGGGGCTCGATCCCAGGACCCTGGGATCATGACCTGAGCCGAAGGCAGACGCCTAACGACTGAGCCACCCAGGCACCCCAGCTTCTCAAATCTTTGACCTGTCAACCCAGATAAGTGAGGATAAACACTTTATTTTTACTTTATTTTTACTTATTTTTACTTATTTTTACTTATTAATTTTTAAGTAAGCTCCACGACCAGCGTGGAGCCCAACACAGGGCTTGAGCTCACGACCCTGAGATCATGATCTGAGCTGAGATCAAGAGTCCGATGCTCAACCACCTGAGCCACTCATACCACTGATTTATTAATCCATACACAATACATCCCAGTCTTTCTTGAGCACCTTAAAAGTATGTGCTAATTTTTTTTTAAACAAGTATTAGAAACCTCTTTCCTTGGTATCTGTGAGCATGAGTCAGCTAAAGGCTGTGCAAGGTATGGTAGAGGAGGACTAAGAGGAAACCCACCTGATCCAACTCTGATCTTAAGAGTCCATTCAGCATGCTGTTTATTACATCAGGGTAGGACTCCAGGAACAGGGTGGAAAGGCTGCCCGAGGGTGCCCAGTAGGTGCACTTGAACAAATGATTAGTTCTCCCCCCTCCCCACACTCCACCCAACAGAGTTCATCTTTCCCTACATATTTTTCAACATTTCTTTATGAAAAATTTCAAAGATACAAAAAAGTTGCAAGGATTCTACAGTGAAAACCCATATACCAACAGCCTACATTTACAGTTGTTACATTTTTCCCTTCTTTTTAAAGTTTGTTTCAATACTGATTCCTGAGGCAGCAGAATTGCTGTCAGTTACACTGGGAAGTTACAAGGTAGCAGTGGTGCTTCTATGATTTCCAAGCCCCACCCCTCCCGTGCGAAACTGAGATGTGGTCTAACAACAACTATAAAAGGTATTTGTATGAAAATCCACTGGAAGCTATAAAAAGTCACTTTCAGGGGCGCCCGGGTGGCTCAGTCGGTTAAGTGTCAGACTCCATTTCGGCTCAGGTCCTGGGATGGAGCCCCAGGTGGGGCTCCGTGCTCAGCGGGGAGTCGGCTTGAGATTCTCTCTCTGCCCCGCCCACTTTCAGATATCGCCACTTTCATTGGAAAGCATATGCACTCAAGCGATCGCAGAAAACCTGCTTCTACCGTCTGATCCGTGATGGTCACACCGTGGCTACTCTGACAGAGCCCACTGCTGGCCCTGGAGTTCGCAACGCCGCGCGGGACCAGAGCAGAGTGCACGATTCATGAGAGCACAATATGGACTAATAAGGCACCCGGAAAAGAGACAATTGGTCTTTGGTCAAAAGATTTGTATGCTGACTAACGTAACATAATAAAATTAAAAAATATATATATATAAACATTTCAAACCAAAAAAAAAAAAAAAAAAAAAGATTTCTACCAGAGTGTTTGAAGCCCTTTGAACTAAGTTAGGACAAAAACGTCACAGTGTATGTAAGAGCCAAAGGCATTTTTTTAAAAGATATTTACAAAACAAAAAGGCATCAATCAGAAAAGTTAAAGATATTTTTTAAATCACAGTCTTACATGAAGAAACTGAAGCTTGGAATTGGTAAAGGGATTTGCTCAAGGTCACACAAGCAGATAGTGACAAAAATGGGATTAAAACCTTGGCCTCTACTCCTAATCTGATGGAGGGGGAGGGGCACAGACCGAGGTTGGGGCTGTGTTGGTCTCTACCCCCACCTAACGCTGCAGCCTTGGGTCTACCCAACTTCTCTTGTTGAGAAAAGGGTAATTTACTGTTCTTCAAATACAGTTAGGAGTAGAGAACAAGAGAGGGGGTTTTTGTTTGTTTGTTTGTTTGTTTGTTTTAATACAGAACTCACACGAATAGGACTCGATTTAAATATTAGTCTTTTGTCTCCAAGGGAAGAAGCTATAGAAAGAAATGAGCATTTCACTGTAGGCTTTTCTCAGTGGAACAGCTGGGAGCCTTAAAGCTTGGCTTGTCTCTTTCTGGTATCTAACACATCTAGCCATAACCTTTCATTATAAAATTGGGAACACATTCTCAAGGGAAACGTTATTAACCTAAGACTAAATTTAAAACGTTCTCTGGCTCCTGAAGAGTCAACAGAGGAAAAGCACTGCAAATAAGCAAGAACCCCAGGACCCAAAACAGGATTCTATTTATTTATTCCTATTTGACAAATACTTATATATACTGCGAGCCAGGCACTATATATGACTTATATATGACTTCTTATATACATTATGTATATATATCTTTACTTTGAGCCAGGCACTATTTTAATGGCTTTCTAATTAATAAGTCATTTTATCCTTATATTAACCCTAGAAGATGCCCGTCAACTAAATTGGCTCTAGGAGCCCATCAGGAAATGTATCTGAATACGTTGGAAGCATTAGCACAGTGTGTTCAGCCAGCAGTTGAATGATGATGTCCCGGCATGACACAGATAAATAGCAAAGGCAGGAAAGAACGTAACTGTGCCCAGAAATTTGTGGTAGTTTCCTGCAGCTGCTGTAACAAATTAAGCTTGGTGGCTTAAAACAACACATTTATTCTCCCCCAAATCTAGAGGCACAAAGTCCAGAACTAGTTTCACTGGGTCCAAACCAAGGTGTGGGCAGGGCCATGCTCCCTCCAGAGGCTCCAGAGGGGACGGCATTCCTTGCCTCTTGCCTGACCCAGATTTTGGGGGGGCTGCTGCCATCCCAAGGCTTGTGGGTGCATCTCTCCAATCTCTCTTCCCACTCCGCATCACCGCCTCCTCTATGTGTGTCAAATCTCCTTCTGCTTCTCTCTTATAAGGACACGTGTGACAGCATTTAGGCCCCGCTTGGATACTCAAGGATAATCTGGTGATCTCAAGATCCTTCACTTAATCACCTTTTATCAAAGGCCTTTCAAAATTAAGTAATGTTTACAAGTTCCAGGGATGATATCTTTGGGCAAGATGTTTTTGGGGGGGGCAGTTTTCAGCCTACCACAAAATCATCTGGCAAAGTACAGCCCCCGCCACCCAACACACACATACAAACACACACGCAAATACACTCACCATCCCGAATTTGAACAGGAGTCTCCCGTGAAATATAATCCTTTATCTGCAACCTCATCAAAGGGAAGGCAGATGTCAGAGCCCTACACGAAACTCTCCGAAAGGCACCTTGCAACACAGCTTCCTGGTTTTGGAGCTTCTACAGCAGAAACCCCATGATAGGTTGTGTGTGATGGAGGAGATCCCTGCATTAGGTTGAAATGGATCTATGTACCTCTCAAGAGTCCCTTGCAAACATTTAGAGTGCTCTTCGGACTCGTCCTCATATTTTCCAGAGGATACCTTGCTTGGACACACTTGGCAGGGAAACACCGAGGTAAACATCTGCTAGAGAGCTGAGCATTCACCCTCTACCCATGGCTTTAATTTGGACACAAGGTCAGAATCGGCCTCATTTGTGTTCCGCTAGCAAATAGGACGACTTGCACTTCTCACAGCAGGTGCTTTTTTTTTTTTATTTTTTATTTTTTTAAAGATTTTATTTATTTATTTGAGAGAGAGAATGAGATAGAGAGAGAGCACGAGAGGGGAGAGGGTCCGAGGGAGAA